GAATATTATTTGATACTAAATGATTTTAAAGCCTATTGTACATTATGCGTTCTAGCAATTTAGAAAAACAAGGTAAGACAGAAATAGGTCTGTAGTTTGAAACATTTACTTTTTCACCAGACTTATTGTCCCTTATTTTTTCACATTTTTAATGAGAGATTAAAAATGTAAAACAATAAGGATTTAATAATATTAAAGACTGATTTAACTACATTTACGCTAATTTTATCTATGCCTGCACTATTTTTATTTTTCAGAGTTGAAGAAGCATTACGCAACTCACACATGTTTAAATTTAGTTCTGTCATGACGTTTTTTGCCATTTTTAGGTAAGTTTCAATTTTTACCCGGTGGGAAATGAGCTAGCGACTAGCTAGCTCTATAGCGATTTTGAAGCGATTTTTTTTTTCTTATTTTATTTTTTGCAAATGTCTTTAACATCTTTAAAAATTCGATTTTTAGTGGTGAGTCTAATATAATTTTGAAAATAATTGAACTTTAAACATTGCGATTTTGTAGCAATGTGTCGCTAGCTACATATCGTAGCTTTGTAGCTAGCTACAAAATATCTACAAATCTATAGCTGGTTGATAGCTACATATCAAAATTTTTTAGACAACGATTTTATTACGATATGACGCTAGGTACAATAGCCAGTGGATCTTCAGCTTATTAAGCTAGTTAAAGATCTGAGGCGCCGCGAGTAAACAAAAACCCTTCGACCATATAAACTGAGACCATATAAACTCAGTTGGTCGAAGCAAAAACCTATGCGAGTTATAATTTTTAGCATCATTTTTCTGAATAATTTATAAAACTAAACCGACGTTTTTCCAATAATTTCGCTATTCTAACTACTTTTTTTAAAAAGTGCAATTATCTACAAAACACCAATTATTATTTTTTAAATTAATGCATTTTAATTAATCAGAAATAGCTCATCTGTTTTAAAATGTCAAATTTGATGCGTGAGCGTTTTTTAATAAGAACTTATTATTAATAAAACTTAGACGTCAAAAATCATATTTTTGTAAAAATATGATATTAAGTTTCCAAGAATGAATAGTGCAAAGTGAAATGAATATTCTAGATATTGTAGGTAAGACTGTAGATCATTTATAGATTGAACTATAGATTACTTGTGGTCTACTTTACTTTGTAACCAATAGCGGCAGAGTATTTTTTGAGGGGAAAACCCATACTTTGTCGCTATTGGTTGCAATGTAAATTTCAAGTCGAGCTTGACTCAAGTTTGCTTCTTACATTCCACCCTAATTTTTCACTATTATTTTAAGTATTTAAATTTCTTATTTTTGTCGGAAGTTTTGTCTCACTTACAATTTTGTTTTGATATTTTTCTGTGATTAACTTTTTTTTTTTCATGTAAAGATTTCGCTTGAGTTTATAGATCATATTATGAAAAGGTTTTATTTATTTAAAAAAATTCAGAGTTTTTGGGTGTTATGGAATGTTTAAATATCTCTTAGACTAGGCGAGACTATCGTTATTTTGACGCAAAATCAAGTAAAAATATTCTCAAGTTAAAAATAGTTAACATCTGTTCTTTATTGTTCTGCTATTATTATTTGTAACAATGAATAGCGCGGATTTCTTGGCTTTTAAACAAAACGTTAAACGTCCATCCATTAATACGTCCTTGGTATAAAACAAAATTTACCAAAAATAATTATAGTTACTGTAAAAAATGTCCAAATACGGATGAACGTTCACGGGTTTTAGCCACAAACTCCTCCATGAGAGCTGTAATGTCAACCTTGTCTAAGTAATCTTCGTTAATGTGCATCAAAGTGAGGTGAGTGAGACAACTCTGTGACATTGTTGACCGGAGCCAAGTATTAAGCCGTCTCAATGCACTGAAGGACCTTTCAGAACCAGCTACGGATATTGGAACAGATAAACACAACAAAACTACCTGTTCCACCATGTCAAACAACCTGCGGGTACTTAGTTCAAGGTCTTTTAAAGCTGCTGCTAGCTGGTGTAAATCTTTAGGCAGTGATTTGTCCTTAAACAAATATGGAAGCAGTTGCAGCTGTAACTGCAACATAGGAACATCGACATTATCTGACAAACTTTGTAGTGGCATGCTGGCTAGTGTGGCTGCATTACTTGTGGATGTCCATGAACCTATCAAAATAGCTTCTGTGCTTGCAACTTTATGCAATCCTTCTTGGTTAAAACGGCGCGGCAGTTCTGCAACTGAGTGGTGAATGGCTTCGAAGAGACTTTTCTTCTACAATTGTTCTACATTACGGCTTTGAGCTCCATGCGAGAAACGAGCAGGAGCATTAACTGTGGAACTACACTGTGCCTTAGGCAGCTTGAGATTCAATGTGTTAGCTTTCTCGATGGCCTTCCTGTGTAACTCCGAAGCAAGTTTATCACCACACAAGTCTTGAAGTTGAGCCAGAAAAAGTTAAACACATTTTTCAGCGGCTGATGCACTTAGTGATGGGCTCTTTAATTCTACGAATTCAAA